GGACAACAGGTTAGCTTGTTTGTTGCGCTAGCACTGAGCTAATACATATAAGGCAATATAGCATGAGGGCTAGAGCGAAGGCTAACAGGCTAATCTGAGGTTGTTCTTCCATGAAGCAGCTCTGTGCCTTCAGGGTGGATATAGCTCGCTAGCAGCCTCGCACCGAGGACCTATCCACGTCATCATTTACCCAGAATGCTTTGTGTGCAAATAAAATGGCTCCGTCTGTGTTAAAATTTATTTTTAACTTTTAGTTTAAAAAGTATAAAAACTAAACAGCCTACAGTATTTTTTACAGTTTTTTACCTCTTTATTTTAGAGGTAAAATATATGTTTATCAAATAAAGTCTACTGTTAAAACTAATCATGGATCCCTTTAAAAAAAAAGCAAAAACTTTTTGTTCAGATCAACTTAAAGTTAGACAGAAATTTTAGGAATACAGCAACAACTGATAACGTAAACCACTCTGCACCATCACTGTTTTCCCCTGGTCAAGTAAAAATGGAAAGTCCTCGTGTTAGCCTGTGTGGATAAATGGTTCTGCAGTCAGACAACAATATTCTTATCTGAAATGCTTGTTTTGTTCAATGTTTACATTTTTGCCTCAGGAGGTGTAGAGAAATATAAATCATGTCATGCTGATTGCTTTGCTTAATTAAAACATTAAAAAACAAACAACACTGATCATTTTTTCACACAACCTCTACTTAAAAGATCTGAAGTATCCCTTTAAAGCTTTAGCCAACACAAATACAAAAGTTGTAGTTTTAGTTTTTTTTTTTTTTTTTTTCAATTTTAGCAAAATGCCATCAACAAAGTAAAGAAGAACTCCAGCAGGAGATACGTAAATCTCAGCTATTCCAACTGTAGCTGCTTGTTTAAATATCAGACACAAAACCTGAAAGGGGTCTTTTGGTCCTGTGTTCAGGCCCAGCTTCAAACGGACTAACTGGTTCGGACCTGTCGGCAGAGAGTGCAGACTAGTGATGGAGAAAGTGGGCGTGATCGACCTCACACCTTTTGGCAAGTTCACTGTGAAGGGGAAGGACTCCATCAAGCTGCTGGATCGCTTGTTTGCTAACACCATGCCAAAGGTAGCCTAAACTTACAGACCGAGTTAAAGAAATGCTAAAAAATACAATAATGCAGTGCAACATTGCAATTAGGAGTTTTAATACACATTAATACACAATAGTTGTTACATCCTGAAATTAAAGACATGAAATAAATTGGTGAAAATTTTCATTATTTTTATGTTTTGGACATAAGAAAAGACCAAACTGAACCAACAGCCTCTCTCATGGGTTTGTTAAAAAAGCAACACTGAGATATAAAGCCCTATAAGTTCTTACTATATTTCTGGTAAATTATCAGAAAACCAAATCTAAACTAGAACTGCAAAGCAGTTATGACCGGGGTCCAAGCCCTTTTATGCATGTCAGCCTTTGTCATGTTGTTAGTAGCATATTGTTGATCTTT